GGGGTGGGGTGGGGAGACAGCACAGGAGGAGTGATCAGCCTGCTGTCCTTGAGGCCCCACACAAGGTACAGGACGTATTCAAAGCAGCAGGAGGCCTAGTCTGCAGGGGTGGGCAATGGCTCCTCCTTGATCAGAGCCCCCAGCCAGTGGGCAGGCCATGCCCAGGCCCCCAAAAGCACCCTAGGGTCTGGGAGGCTCCCCTCTGGAGCGGAGGGAGTAGGACTACAAGGGAGTGAGGTGCAGGCCTCAGGGCAGTGGGTGCCATGTACAGGGGTCCTTCCCAGCCCAGGGCATAGGCAAGATGAGGTGACAGGGTAAGGGAACTGGCTCTTGGCCTCAAAGCCCCTCACCTCCTCCCAGGCTGGTCTTCCATCCTGGGGCTACTTTAGTCCTTACCACCCTGTCCCCTCCCATTGACACAGGGCTGCTGTGCTCCTGGGGATCCAGGAACCAGGCACAGAGAACCTGCTATTTAGGTGGACACACACCAGCCAGAGGCAGTGGTCAGGGCCCAGCCTCCCAGCGAGGGAAGCCCTGCAATGCTGATACTGAGGCAGAGGCGGGGGCTCAGAGGCTCTGGAGGAGCAGGAGTAAACATGCCCAGCCCCGCCCTGGGCGGGAACCTGCAGCACTGACCAGCTCAATGTGAGTCAGCTGCTGGGCCAGCACCAGGGGGTCGCAGCACACACCCAGGATGTCCTTCTGAGAGGTCGCTGGCTTGGCCTTGAGGATGGGCCCTTTGTCCACAGCTGGCGAGCGGAGCTTCTCCCGGAGCTCCTGAAGCTGGCTCCGGGCAGCCAGGGACAGCAGCAGGCTCTGAGTCATCTGGGCAATGGCCTTCTTCACTGTGCCATTCTCCTGTGGGGTCAGGGAGCAGTGAAGGTGCCAGCGGGGCTGGTGGCAAGACTACCACAACCACATCTCAGGAGGGACCCACCTCATCTCCAGGGACATGCCTGACTTGGAGCCCACATGCCCGACCCAAACCTGCCATGAGCAGGGCCAGAGCTAGGCTTCAGGGTCTAAAAAGTGTAACTTTACTGGAGGTGAAGACGGCCAGCTGAGCTCCTTCACAGGGGTGTCCCACAGCAAGAAGACTGAGGCCTCAGAAGGGCTTCCTCTGGGGCCAGGAGCCTCTCTCCCTGGGCAGGAGCAGCCCTGGTCCCTCCCAAAGCTCTCCCCGGGCTTTCTGAGCCCTCTGGGCAGACAGGAGCTGCCGAGCACACAGAGCACCTTCATCGTCAAGGCAAAGCCAGCCCAGGCTCCCTCTCAGCTCTCTGCGTTCCCGTCTCCACTGAAGGCAAGAGCAGGCTGGGAGCCAGGAAAGGTAGACAGGCTCTTACCCTTCTCACTAGCCCCTACTCCAACCACCCAAAGCCCAGGAGAGAGGTGGGCCTGGGCTCATTCCATGTTCTCAGGGTGAGGTCTGTTCATTGCTCAAGGTCTGCACATGCTGAGGGCAAGTCTGGCCCTTTGCTGGCCAAGGAGGGGAGATGACTGAGTGGAGGCACTCAGAAGTCCTCATGAGTGGCAGGGGAGGGGACCATATACAGAGCTGTTCCTAAGGAATCCCCCTTCCCACACACATCCATACACACACACACACACACACACACACTCTAAGGAGCTCCATCGGAGCTGAGGGAGGCCTCACCTCATCACACTGCATGATCCGGTGGGTGATGGCCTTCAGCTCCGCCATGGCCTTCTCATCCTGGAAGTCACAGGGGAAGGCCTCTGTCCACTCCTTTAGCAGCTGCACAACCTTGGCTGAGAAGGACTTCAGCATGGCCTGGGGTGGTGGGGCACAGGGTGAGGCCTGGCCACCAGAGTGAGCAACAAGAAGACGAGTGGTGTACCCACCCCCAGGATCACCATGCTGGGGCAGGGACAACCCCCAGCCAGTCCTCCTGCAGTTTTGTCAGACTTGCTTTATTTCGTATTACCCTTGTGGACCCTGAGAAAGGAGACACCTACCAAGAAAGACTCCTGGTGGCAAACTGGGCTCAAATTTTTACAAAAACAGCCAAGCAGCTATTTCTAAATAGGGACCTCTCACGCAAGCCACACGTCAGAAAGAAGCCTGCCCTGAACTGCCAGCCTGCACTGTGATCCTGCCATCTGAGCCAGCCCCCATAAAGGAGCTCCTGGAGGTGTACTTCCACCAATCAGACTGACACTTGCCCCATCCAATCAGAGCTGTGCAGCTAAATCTCCATTAGCACCAGTCAGAGCAGCTCCATTCTGACCAATAAGGACAGTGCTTTTTGGAGCAATCAAACTGTGAAGATTTGGAGCCCTCATTTGCATGAGGATAGACTAATCACTGACTCAGGGCAGGGACTTCTCTCTATATAAGTGAGCTCCCCTCTTGCTTGGGGGGCCTACTTCCCCTTTCCACTGAAGACTGCATTTCCCTGGCTGGAGCTGCAACACCACAGCACTGGCCAGGGCACCCCAGAGCTGCCTCACAGCTGTGCTGCTCCGAACTGAGCTGTAAGGCTATCCAGCTGTTCCACTGCTGTGCTGCTCCCACAGCTGTGCTGTAGCATAATTGAGCTGTTTGCACCGAATAAACTTTCCTTCTTCACCACTCCCCAAATTAGAGATTCTTGTTGGCACTGAATTGTTGCCAATGACCATCAGTTGACACCCTTAAGTCACTTAAGTAAATTCATTTTCAAAAAACCTACCCAACACTACCATGGCATAGAAAACGAGTTTCATTTGCTGTAGTAAGAAGTTACCCATTAACAAGAGTGCAATGAAAACCAAGCCAACTCATTAAGAACACATGAGTGGCTCCTGCCTGCCCCTTCTCAGTTAAAGCAGGTTAGCAAGTGCTGGGAAGGAACACAGCCCCATGGAGGCAGCCTCCTCCCCATTCTCTGTTCTTAGAGGTGGTCCCGGCACCCCCGCTGTGTCTCCAGGAAAGGAGAAAAGGGAGTGCTGAACGCTTGGCTGAAGAATCCCCCTGAAATGCCCACAGGTACCCACCACCACCATTACCACTACCGCCCCCGCTGCCCCTGTGCCACCACCGCTTCTTCTTGTCCATGATCACCTGCCCCTGCCTGCCCAACATGGACCATTCCACCCACCGGGTGGCCACAGCTGCCCTCAGGACCAGGCTCCCCGAGGACCCAGCTCCCAGTCCCGCACCTTCCTGAGCCCCCTCTGCTGCCTCCAACTCGCCTGACTCTGCTGTCCCCAAGCCCCCAGCAGGTCCCTTAGTGATGGTTTCCCACGTCTGGCAGAGCCTCTCCCGTTGGGCCCTGTGCTCACACAGCCACGCGTTCTGGCCAGTCACTTCCTTTAGATGGCGACCATGCCCCCACTCAGCAGGAGCCAGAGCCCTCCTCAGCGGCCCTACGGAGCATGTCTCCATGGGCACAGGCTGGCAGGCTCAGCCTGGCTCCTCTCAGCCTGTCCCCATGCTGGCCCTCAGCCTCCCCACTCACCCTGTCCCCTCAGGAGCCTTGCCTGGCCTCCAGGCCTCCGTCAGTGTCTGTCCCGTTCTTGCCCCACAACGCCTGGGGACAGCCCCTCTGAAGAGGAGACTCTGGGGAGGCACAGACATCCACATGCCCTTGCTGCAAACCCTCCAGGGCTTGGCCTTGTGGAAGGAAAGGTCATCAGTAAACGGGACAGGCCAGCTCTGCCGCAGCCTGCAGGAGGCCTGCCAGCTCTCTCACAGCACGCCCACCGCCTCTTCTGCACCGGGCCCTGGGCTTCTAAAACCTCACCCGAAGGCCCAAGGCCTCAGGATCGAGCTGTGGTTCTTGACCATCCTGACTGCCCAAAGCCTGGCTCAGTCAGAAGGGAGAGCAGTGGCAAACAGCCCTGCCTGAGTCACCGAAAACGCCATGAGCAGGCCCCAGCCTGAGGACGCTGCCCCACGACCTCTAGGGCAGGCAGTGACCCGGGCCCCGATCAGGAGGGCTGCGGGGGCTGTCCGCTGGGGTCCTTCGTTGGGAGGGGGTGTGAATGCCCCGGCAGTTACCCCAGCATCCCGGCCGGTGAGCCACGCCCCAGAGACAGCCAACCTGCCCCATCAGGGAAGGCCGCGGGCCAGGCTCAGCCAGGCCCTGTCCGGCCAGCCGCCTCTGAGCGTGTTCCGCTTGGGGCAGGAAGGGGGCAGCCAGGGGCACAGAGACAGGCAGCGTGGGCTCGGCCGCCTTTACCTTCTCGGACCCGGCCTCCAGCTGCTGCCTCTGCTCCAGGTAGATCTGCCCCACACGGGCCAGCAGGTCATGAGGGGGCATGAAGACCCGGGAGCTCAAGAGAAACGTAAAGATGTACGTTCTCTGAAGAAAAGAAAAAAGAGAGAGAGCAAAGTGGGGGTCAGGCCTGGCGTGGGCCCCAGGCCTGCTGCTCCCTCGGCCCTGCCGCTCCCACGCCCAGCGTCACCGGGCCACAGCCGTGGTTCTGCGTGGTTTGTGCAGCGGCCCCTGTTTACTGCACCTTGGATGCCCCCTTCTCTCCCCTGCACAGGGCACAGATCAACCCCACTTCACAGTGGCTTGAGGAGCCTCCCCAATGAGTTCAGCTCCCAGCAGTCTTGCTCCGTGGGGCTTCTCCCCATCTTCTGTCCTACCCCGGGGTGGGCGCTAGCCCAGCCCTGGATGTTGGCAGGACTCTGCAGGCCTGGGCGAGCCTGCTGCCCAGCCCACTGTGCTCCCTGGGCCTGTCTCCAAACCTGCCTCTTCTCATCCTCACTGGCCTAGCCCCCTGGCCCTGGCTGTGGGGTGGCGCTCTCTCCATGGGGACTGTCACCAGTCCCTGGGCAATCACTAGCCGGCTGTGGGCTTTGTGCCCAGCTCCCACACAAGGCCCCTGTTCTACAACCACGCGCCCTCACCACCGGCCTCTGCAGTGCAGGCTCTGAGGACTCCTCATGATCTGGACTGAAGGGGGGCAGGGGGCAGCTCCAGCCAGGCCCTTCCCGGGGTTTATGGAGTGGAAGGAAGGAAAGGAAGAGTACACAGAGCCCCAGGAGGCAGAGAGGTGTCCTGACATGTTGGGTGGCCCAAAACTCCCCAGAAGCTTCGTTGTCTCCAGCACCATCAGATAAAAGCTGCAGGGCCAGGGGGGCAATTCCTCCCCCACTTTCTCTAGGCCGTGTCTGACTCACAGGGGCCAGGGACTCCAACTCTGACCTGGGGACAAAGTGGTCACCAGAAAGGTCAGGGCAGCTTGGCTCTCAAAAGGGGCAGTCAGGCCCAATGCCCTACTCTATCAGAGGCAGAGGGAAGCCACACAGACAAGGGAATTCTTTCTCTCTGCTCCAGGGATGTACTATCTCATCTTGAGGTGAGGAGGGGGGATCTGGAATGTAGGTGAAAGCTGGCCCTGCTGGTCTAGGCATGTGCCCTGGGGTCCCAATGCTGGCGGGCATGGCAGAGCTGTCCCCTCTTCATTCAGGAACTGGACAAGTGCAGTGGGGCCTCATCAGGACTCCAAGGAACTGGGCTGGCCCTTTAGATTCCCCTTCCTCTCCCAGGGCCCTGCCCAGAACCTGTGTCACTTGCTTGTGCCACCAGGGCTGTCTTCCACCTTCCTAGAGGCCAGAGAAGTAACATACACGCCCCCAGCCCACCACACCCCTCCCATGATGCTCCCTCCCTGTCCCAGAAGCAGCTTCCCCTAAAGCCCAGGACCCAACGCCCACCCCCTACCCTGCCAACCTTTCTCCAGGCCCTGGCACTTACATCAGGGTAATAGTCCACTGTGGGGACCAGGTGCTCCATCAATGCCTCCAGGGACCCAGAGATGAGGCGTCCATCCTGGAAGATGAGGTCCCCGGAGCCACTGGCCCCGCCTCCTCGCTCCCCCATGCCAGGCTGCACCTGTCCACTACAGCTGGGCCCAAGTACGCTGGAGCAGATGATAGACGTCTGGGGCATAGCTTCCTGGGAGAGAGGACAAGGCCGTGAGGCATCAAAGGAGCCCCTCCAGGTCCCCCTCCTGGCCCTCCTCCAGGTCCCCCTCCAGGTCCTCCTCCAGATCCCCCTCCTGACCCTCCTCCAGGTACCCCTCCAGGTCCTCCTCCAGGTCTCCCTCCAGGTCCTCCTCCAGATCCCCTTCCTGGCCCTCCTCCAGGTCCTCCTCCAGGTCCTCCTCCAGGTCCCCCTCCTGGCCCTCCTCCAGATCCCCCTCCTGGCCCTCCTCCAGGTCCTCCTCCAGGTCCCCCTCCAGGTCCTCCTGGTGAGCAGTGTACCATTAGACATCAGCTTATGTGGGTGGGCCTGCAGCCACTGGGTGTCAATAAATGTTTCTTCAGCATCTGCTCCATGGACACCACACCTCATTCTAGGCCCCAGGACACACGGAGGACCTGCCTCCTGGGATTATATCCCACTCGCAGGAAAAGAATCCTATGGAGAAATACAATGCCAGGAGGAGAGCTTGAACATGTGAGGTGGGGGGTAGGTGGCATTGGAACAGCCTGAGGGCGTCAGCTGTGCAGCTTCCTAGGATAAGCAAGCAACTTCTAGGCATAGGGAGAGCAGATGCAAAGACCCTGAGGCCCGTGTACGTGGGTGGAGGGGTTGAGCAGGGCGAGTAGTCTGAGGAGTGACAGGCCAGACCATGCACACCCCCAGGGGCCCTTCTCTGAGGAACACAGGAGGTGTGAGAGCTCTGAGCCCAGGAGTGACCTGACCCAGGGTGAAGGTCACCTCAGTTGCCATGTGGAGACCCAGCAGCAGAGGGATCTGAAAACCAGTTGGTGGGTTTTGCCATAACCCAGGGAGAAATTGCTCAGGTCAGGTGGTAGTGAGACAGGCTACTAAGCCAGGACAAGTGGAATAGGGAAACTGAGACAGAGTTAAAAGGCCAAGCAGCTTACAGCCACCTAGTAAATCACAAAATCCTATCTTGCCTAACCAAGGACACTTAGGAGCAAATGGTTTGCACTTCTCCTTCCCAACCAGAGAGTAAATAGCTTACTTAAATCACCCTACTCAGGCAAAAATCCAATTAGTGCCATTTGCCAACCACACCCAAGGACTGATGAAGTCGGGAATAAATCTCATTTTGGCGCACCAGCATAAAGCTGGTGACTAACTATTGAGATTCTCCCCTAAGACCTCCCCTAAACTCCTAGCCTTTAAAACCCTCATAGACGAAGGACCCAGGGTGGGCTCTCCCTTCCAGGCTCCTGCGCCTTTCCCTTCCCCCCTTACCCCCGCGTGAATTACCTCTGCCTTTCTCTCTCCTCAGCTCCAAGGGCCCTTCTACTACCTTTGTAACTTTTTAAATAAATTTCACCTGTGTTTGAGTTCTTGGCTCTGAAACGTTTCTTTGCTGAACTCAAGAACCCAGGTCCAGTTTCGCCACCAACGCTGCCAGTAACAGCAGAGGGGGAAGGGAGCAGGGTTGACTTCAGGCACTGTACAGAATGGTCTCTGGCCTGAGTGACTAACCAGCGTGGGGAAAGCATGAGGGTGGGGTCTGAGGAAAGATCTGGAACATGCTTCTGGACATGTTGGATTTGAGATGCCTATTACACATAGGTGTCGGGCAGCAGTCTGGGCCTGGGGGCTCCCGTGCGGGGGCTGCCCACAGAGGTCTGGCCCTGTGTGACGGGAGCAGAGGGTCCCCACCTCACGCTGCAGCAGGGCCTCCGCTGGAAGCTCTCGGGAGGCCCGGGGGAGTCAGCAGCCCTTGGGACCCCAGCCTCCTCACTGCCTGAGGCAGCCAGCCACACCTGGAAAGGGCTCTATGAAGATTTGCCAGCCTGAGGCCTGGTGTGGGCTGACCCCCCACCCACCCCCTTGCTCAGACGGCACCACCTTGGAGGGCAGGTGGGCTGAGGTGGGAGTGGAGGAGCTTGGCCTTCCTGCCTAGGTGGGGCCATGACCAGGCTGTACCCTCTCCGGTCACTGGCAAGCTGGTGCCACTGCCTGGGCACCTGCCTCCCCAGGTGACCAGGAGCCCTCCCTCTCCCAGGGCAGGGCTGTCTCCTCCGGCCTAGGAGGGTAGAAAGTGCACACACCCTCCTCAGGCTCCCTTGGCCCTCCGGGCTGACCTTGCCATTGATGCCACTGCCCCTAGCCCCAGCCTGCTCTCTGACCCAGCTGGGGTGAGCTTCAGAGCCATTCTGGCCTCAGTTTCTCCACTGTGCAGAGCAAGCCGTAGCCATGAGTATTTTACTGCCATGAGAGGGCCCCAGGCTGCTGCCCTCCAAGGAGGGCACAAGCAGAACAAACTCCCTCCCAAAGCACATAAACTGAGCCTCCTGGCCAAACACCCAGAGGCCGCCTTAGAATCCTCTGGAAATCCTTTGCAAGGACAGGAAGAGCTCAAGCCAAGTCCCCAAGACAAGGCAGGATTAGAATGTCCATGGCCCACACTCAGTGCCGCTTCACTCCAGGATGGGAGCTCGGGCTCACAGCACACACCACTCAGCGCGCGAGAATGCACATTGTCAGGCCCTCCCGGGGTTCCAACGCCGTTTAGGCAGAGAACCACTGACCTGAGCAACCCTGCATTTTTTAAATGTTGAAACAGAAGCTCAGTGGGAAGGAATTTGGCTGAGGATATCCTAGGGTATCCAAGTCCAGTCCAGGTGTGACTACCTGCAGGAAGCCTCCCTGGGTTAATCCCTAGCCTATTTGATACATGAGGCTGGAAATGTCCTTCACACACTCCTGGGCAGCTTGAGCCTGGCCCATGATGCTCACTGGGATGAAATTTATTATTTGCTTGAATAATAATTTGTTGAAATTTAAATTTGTTATTTGTGAGATGAAATAATAAAGGTGGGCTCCCCAGACACCTCAGCACCCTCAGCCAGGGGCACCTGAGCCCCAGCACTTCACCCAAGACCCACGTGCTGTGGGGCCACTTCCCCAAGACTACATAGTCCTGGTTTCAAAAAGGCCCCAAGGGTGGTATCCTTGGTCACTGGACCTCCTGACCCCCAGCTGCTTCATCAGAGTTGGCACTTTGAGTCACTGGCCTCTCCCACCATGGAGGCTGGGGGAGGGGCCCTCTATCATTCCACTAACTCACAGTCCCTGAGGGACCCCCCCAAAGGGCAAGGCCATTCTGGGTCCAGCCTGCAGGGGGTCCCACCCCAGGGCTAGGGAGGCCAAGAGCCAGGGGGAGCCAGTGTGGGATTCAGTCCCCACTCAGCTGCCCGTGGTGGGTGGCTGAGCCAGGCAGGAGGAGAAGGCATGGAGCATGGCTTCTAGCCCAGACAAGTATACACACAGCGTGTATTCAGTGGCACGTCAGTACAGATATAAACGCCATTCTCCAGGTTCCACTCAGCCTGGCTGAGGGGCTGCTTCAACATGGTCCTCGAGCCCTAGGTCCTTTCCAACAGTACAGTCTGGAGCTCTGAGTCACTGCAACTCAGGTCAGAAGCCCTTTGTGGGGACTCAGCTTCTGAGCATTTGCATCTGCCCTACATCATGCACACATGAACATACACACAGTGCACACACACAAGCACGGGGCACACAAGCACACACGTACAGAGTGTGCACACACAGGTTCAGCACAGACACAGCACAACAATGCACACACATACACAGCACACAGCACACATACATGTATGATGTGCACACAGGCACAGCACACACAGTGCACACACGGTGCACACATAGCACACACACATGCACAGCACACAGCATGCACACATACACAGCATACACACATGCAGAGCACACATAGTGCACACATGCATGATACTCACATATACACAAAGCACACACATACACAGCACATGCACACATGTGTAGTGCACACATGCGTACGCCTGCTAAGGAGCACACTGCCCCAAAGCATGGAGAGCATGGAAGCTGCCTGAACTCGGGACCCAGGGGGAGAAGAGGAAGCTCAGTGGGGGCAGCCTGGGTCTGGGAGATTTCTGAGCCTTTCAAGAGAGTAAGAGGAGAGATCTTAGGCAGCCCCAGTGCAGTGAAAGATCCTGGGAGAGATGGAAAAAGAGGGTTTTAGGAATTTTTGCAGAAGATTATGAATGAAATTCCCTTTTGCAGCCCCTTTGAGACTTTAGCTAGAGATTTGAGGGCACTCGCTGCTACAGTGCTTTCTAATGTGGGCTCAGCAAACTAGGGCCATGAGGGATCCATGCCCCTCCATCACGCAGCAAAGTAGAGAGGAAGGTTCCAAAGCTGGACACCGCCCTGGTGGGCACCTCTGCACACCCACTCGTGCACACCTTTTGTGACCTGGGGCACTATCCATCTACTCACAAACTCAGGTTGTGCCTGAGATGATCTTCGGAGACCCGAGAACCCCACTCCATCACCCCAGGAGCTCTGGTCCCAGGGAGCCACAGCTGTGGCAGAGACCCAAATCTTTCTGGGCCCAGCCACAGATCTCACTATGACAGCACGCGCACACACAGATGGCACCCAGAGACTGCTGAGCGCACCCAAAAGTGTTTGTCGCTACATCTTCACATCTCTTTACAGGCACTCACACTTGTCCCCCTGGGTAAGGGTTACATCTTTCCTCAATGCTTTTCCTGCTCCCTGCACCCAAAAGGCCCAACAAGGTCTGGGCAGGCCTGGCACTGCCCAATAGTCTCATACAGACTCCCACACCCGAGTCACAAACAGTACCTAGGTAAGGATACAAATGACGGTGATGCTAAAAAACAGCCAATGACGGCAGTGTCTGTGTGCAGAGTAGTGCTCACAGCTGTTCGGGGCAGCCCTGCACACCTCCCTGGGGTGTCCCCCGCCCAGGGTCTGCTCTCACAGGGAGCCCTCATCTCCTGCCTTCCAGCCCTCAGGAGCGAGGGTCCCTGCCCAGGAGCAGGACCTGTGGGCTTCAGCATGCTGCTTCATCCCACAGGAGCAGGAGGGCTGGGAGGGGAGAGGCAGAAAGAGATGGGGGGCCAGGTGGGACAGGGGCCTCATCCTTCAGGAGCCACATGGGAAGGGTCACTGCCTGCTCCCAACACCAGTTCTGCCCTCCAGGGCACATTCTGGGAAAGGGACGCAGGGCTCAAGGGGCATTCACCCCTCTCTCCCCACCCCCTGCCATCACCCAGGGTATCTGCACGAAGCATATTTCTCAGCCCAGAGGGGCTAAAGGAGGAACACTGGAAGGCGGCACCTGTGATAACCGGCCAGCTCAGACACAGCCCACTCTGCCGTAGCCAACAGTGGATGACAGCCCGGGAAGGGGACAGTCTCCTGCACAGCTGGCCAGGAACATGTCAGGCCTCCACTCAACTGTGAAGGAGGATCTCTGGGGCAAGTTCCCAGGGCAGTCCGAATTCTAGGACCCCTTCCAGATCCTAGAGCCTGCAAG